GATCAAAATCCTGAAAGTATTAATTTTGACAAACAAAATCCTGAAAAATTGGTAATTCTAAAAATTCAATTTAGTATCGTCACGAACTCGATATTAAATGGTTTTAGTATGCATTTTAAAGGCCATAATATAATAGTCAACTTTGTTTATGCATGTAGTACTTTAATCTGCCCGGAAGACCCAAAAATTTTGAATTACAAAAACAATTCATGATATTAATGTTGCATATTTCGCATAACTGGAATTTGTGTCTTTCGTTTTGGTTACACAATATATGCTATATTTAAATTTTATAGTTCGGCATGTAATCTGAGCCTTCGGGTACCATTCTAACTGATTTTAGTAAAGATTCTCATAAAATTTTTTTTAATCCATAAAATTTTTTTAAAATAATTTTAGCGGGAAAATTTGCCTGCCAAAATGTACGGTTTAAGGGATAAGATGTTATGTATACACATTCAAGTATAAAGCTTGCAAGTGTGCTAGGTTTAAATAGATTGTGATACTGTACTTCGCGTAAACACTATAGATACACATCTCATGCTTTCTCTCCTGTATATAAAGAAAGTGGTATCACAGTAAATTTTGATAAAAGATAGCTCAAAAACAATCTTGCTACTCTTCCATTTCCATTCATAAAAGGGTGAATCATCAAAAAGTATATGAAAAAACATGCCCCATATTTAATGGCTTCTTCTAACTGCAGGTTTGTGTCCTCAAATTTTTCTTTACATGATGAAATAATGCTTCTATTCTATTTTCTATCAAATCTGGTACTATGTATACATAGTTTTCTTGTGCAGCCATAGCAAATTTCGTTCTGTACTGCCCAGCATTCTTGATTAATCCGTTTCTAATTTTTTTGATGCAATTGCTTTGCAAACTCAGGCGTAAAGCGATCCATTTGAAGATCTGGAACGAAGATGGAAGGAAAAGTGTCAATGATAGCACCATAGAGATTTTGCATCTTTCTAGCTAAACGCTGTTCATCAGGTTTAATGCAATACGCAAAAATCTTTTTGCAAAATATTCTTAGAAACCCAGATTTTCAGAGAAGGTTTTGTACATAACTAATATCGAGTGTAATATTGCTTTCTGCAGAAATACATTCAAATAGATAATGTTCAAGGTGAAGTTCGATGTATCCCTTCCAAAAAAGCTCATTGCTTTCATTATTAACTGCTGATTTTATAGCCCGTTGGAAATGATTAAGCTTTGAGATTAAATATTCCGTACTACATTCATCCAAAGGGTTTTTCCACCAAGGTTTGTCCAAAATGGTAAAGTTAGAATATATCATCGATGTCTAATATGATACCTCCTATTAGTTTATAGTGTTATTCAAACCAGAAAAGAATTTAAGAATTAAGATCTATACCACAATTTTATCTTGTTTACTGCTTCCTACTTCTCTTTGTTCAGGATTTTCTATTCTATAAGAAAGAGAGTAGCTGATTTTATTGAGATTGACTAATCTATCGCTTTATTTAATTGTTTTGATTTTCATATTACACTAGATCTTATATTGAAAATACAGTAAATTTTTGGTAGATCTCTACGAAATTGATGAAATCAAAACAATTGAGATTTAAATCAATAGGGTTCTCTATTTGGCTATTTTAGGGGGACGTCTAAAGCTGTATCCAGTCACGTATTTTTATTTTTTAATTAAAGTTAGGGTAAGGGTTAGTTTGGGATTAGGGTCAAATATGTTTTATAGTAAAATTATCTTCTCGACATTTTTTATTAATGCATCAAGATGGGTTTAAACTATCGTTTCTTGTATTTTTTTGCGATTTTTACTTTTTTTCGTTGTTTTTGTCTCTTTAGGCTGATCTGTATCAATTAAAATAAACAATTCTATTGGCTTTAGATCATGTGATAGATACAGCTTTAGATGACCCTTTAATAAGGTAGGTTAATTTAATTAGTAAAATTTTGACTTTACTATATAGCAACAATTATTATTTGTCATGAATGATCATGAAATCGGATGATAGTGAAATTTGGGTCTATTTTATATACGATTTTTAAAATTTTTGGGGCCTTTTTTGTCAGCTTTTTTTTATAGTTAAGTTAGGATTTAGAGTTAGAGTTATTAGTAAAAGAGTATAGGTGGATTTTGGTAGGGCTTTTATTTTCAAATCGAGATCCCTAAATTTCACCATCATCCGATTTCATGATCATCTGCAACATTATTTATAGAGGTAGCTTTTTTAGATAAAAGATATTTTTTATTTTTCTTGTCTAAAAAAGAAAAGTAATTTATTTTCAGTGTAGCTTATTTTTGAAAATATACAGTATATAATTTATATAGTGATCTGCATCATATTTAAGGTTCTCGGCATGAGAGTTCTTGGTATACCACTTATAGTATGCTACTATAGCATACTATTGAATCTAAAGGCTACTATTAATTTAATAATATATAGTATAGGACAGTATAAGATATCCAATGTATCAAATTTTACAAAAAATTTCATGATAAAAATTAACTAATTAAATTTCTTAAAATAATATATATATATTAAATTATAAATTTTAAATTATAACTATTTTTTTAAAATCAAAAATTTTGAAAATCACTCTTTCAGATTTGTTAATTAAATAAAAAACAATAAATTTGAAAGAAAGAATATTATTTTAAATAGTTTTAAAAAAGTTATAACAAATTAGATATCTTATGCTATCCTGTATTGTATAAATATAAAAAAGATGCAGTTTATATTTTTTGAACTTTAGAAAAAAATTTTTTTAACCAATTAAATTAAACAAATAAATCATATGATTATGGCATGCCAAAAACCTTAGTCACATTATACTATAATTATATACCAGGTAACTGGTGAATTACTAA